CTGATTGGTCGGCCTTCATTTCTGCACTATAAGTCGGACGTCCCCTTTATTAAAACACAAATCTGTCCTCTTATACAATCTACATCATCCTTCAGTAGGTTTGTGACATTTCCTGATTGGTTAAAGGATATGCCAATCAGTGATTGCATTACCAGCCTACATTGATCTGACTCATTTTATAAGCTGTACTATTTCCTATAGATCATTTTCCAGACGGTTCTGCTATGATTAGTGTCTGGCAAAAAGCTTCAGCAGATATTTCCTTTGCAACATCTCAACCAACAATTGGTCCAGTTATCAACTCTATTTTCAAGTTTTGAACAACTCGACTTTCAAGATCTACATGTACCGATGTTTCCATTTATCTGTGCAAGAACTCAGCTAACAGATGTTCCCGCATATAAAAGCTATCTTCAAGTTTTGTACACCAAAAAAACTTTTCAAATACTTGTATTCTAATTTTAGGCTATATTATGGTAAGGGCATGTTAATGTTTGTATTATAGTTTTAGACTATATACTGGTATGGGATAGGCTATATAACAATAAGGTATAGGTTGATGTTTATATTTTAGTTTTAGGTTATGTAGCAGTAAGTATAGCCAGGAGATTAATAGAATTTGTTAACTGATTAATTATTGGGTTTGTGATTCAATTACATTTAACTAATCATTTACTTGTGCAAAACTGATCTGCTAGTTTCATCTAGTTTTCTTTTAAGATACCTTTGAACTTTCTTGTTCATGCTGTACTGTTATTTATCTGTTCATGTTGTACTGTTATTATTTAGTGTTATTGTCATGTAACTGTTCATGCTGTACTGTTATTTTGTATCTTTGTAACAGTACAACATGAACATCTACATAACAGAAATGAATAATAACAGTTCATGTTGTACTGTTATTATTTATCTCTTTTGTGCATACTTCATGTGAACATCTGAAATATATTTAAAAAACAAGTTAAGAAACACTTCTCAAATTTAACCCTCTTCATTGCTGCAGATTAGAGTATTTTATTGTGTCTTTGTTAGTGGGTATGCTGTGTTAGTATTGGTGATCATTAAATCACCAATAATTATTTTCTTAAACTATCTGAAAAACTCCTGTTTATTTTTCTTATCTTTGGTAGATCTGTTTGGTCTTGTACCACATAACGTTCAGCATCAGATGTTGCTTTCTGTTGCAGGTAATGTATTTTTTTGTTTGTCGTGACAATAAATAATGACTCTTTCTTCACCTATATAGACAAAGCAATAGAGTAAGTATTTATACACTAGAGAATGTCACTTTATGCTATGAACAATATACACGAATGCTTTATACACTGATTTGTTTCATTCTGAAGATGACTTTTCATTTAGCATTTTTTTCCACATTAGACTAACAGTAACAAGTCAAGAGATTTCTTAATAACAGTTAATAAAAAAATTGAGGTCATTATATTGATAGGTGCTAAAGTTCTTGCACTTTGTCTCTGCTAAATTAATTTTTGTATATTAATAAAAATAGAAGTGTTAATACATGTGAAATGTCCAAGGTTTTCCATTTTAAGCATTTTTATATGACTTATTAACTTATTTAATGAATAACAAGTGAAATTTTTAAAACAATGTTCAGGTATTATTGTTCTTACTTATTTCAGAACGAAGTGAAGATACTATGGAACACTGTCAACTTATGCTACTTTTAATAAAGAAATTCCCTGGCAAAGTATCAGAACATGGGGTATGTCTGTTTAAAATCCTGGTTTTAGTTTACCTTCAGGTTCAGGAATGTAGTATTACATACAAAGTGTCAGAACATGTGTTATGTCTGTTTAAAATCCTTGGTTTTAGTTTACCTTCAGGTTCAGGAATGTAGTATTACATATTTATGCAATATCTGCAGTGGTGAAATTTGACTTATATTGATTTTTTTATTAGTGTTCTGAAAATCAAACTATTTGACAGTAGAAAAGGATTAAAACTTCAAATAATGTTAGAGCATCGTTTGTTGTTGAATATTTAAGTATTGTGGATGGTAACTACAATTTTGTTTTCTTATCTGATATATTTTACTAATACCAATATCACAAGCTAAGATAATTTTGTTTATTATAAATATCTTTGGTTATATCATGGATTAGTTAATTTTTTATTGCAATTTCTTCAAATTAAGCAAGTAATATAGAGGGTTGAGTACATTATATTTGAAATTATTTTGAATATACAAATCAACAAGTCATATGTCAACCACAGCCATTATGTAAAGCCACAGTGAAACAGCATGTATCAAAACTATATTTTCACATTGTTTGGTGTGTCTCAGTTAGTTTGATGCCACCAAAAATTGATTGATTGTGGGAAGGGTATGTAATAGCTTTTCCAACAAAGAACATTTGTACATTCAGATCATAAAGATATATTCACCAAGATAAAGTGTCATATACTTGTAAATTCAGATCATAATGATATGTTCACCAATACATGACACTTTATCGGTGTAAATTCAGATCATAAAGATGTGTTCACCAAGATAAAGTGTCATGTACCTGTAAATTCAGATCATAAAGATGTGTTCACCAAGATAAAGTGTCATGTAGCTGTAAATTCAGATCATAAAGATATGTTCACCAAGATAAAGTGTCATGTATCTCAAGCAGCTAAAAATGAAGCAGGAACTCATGTTTTTCCTCACAAAGACGTACCGGTCAAGTCACCAGGTGCAATGACTATGGATTTGTATGATTGGTCCATTGAAACAGATACTGGGAGACTGTAATCCTCATACACTAGATGGAGTATGAAAGCATGCAGGCAACAGTGACGCATTTTTGGCATGACATTTTTATGATCGAATCTTTTACAACGGAAACTACGCTGGGCGGTAATCGTACTTGTCGATACGCTAGGCCATCAGATGCAGCATGACCAAATGTTGTGACAGGAGCTGTAATGATGTACTGAGGCTCCAAAATTATTTTAATATACACATGCAACCTCTGTAAGGACAAACTATGCGGACAAGATTCTGAGGAGTTAAATCAGCAATAGCTGGCCAAGTGTTTTTATTTTGTTAGACTGTTCTGTCTATTTATTGATAACACAGCAACAAACAATTTGAAATTCAAAATAGCACACACAAATGGCTGAAGTTTAAAGAAAAATTGGAATGAAATGTGAAAACTGAAATAATAATTTATATTTTGGTCCTCAGGTTTAAAAGCAACGACTTATTTTTGTGTTTAGAACTGAGGAAGAAACAGCGCAGAGTCGTATTAAAGATCTTATAACATATCTTTTTTTTTTTAATATTATACACACAAAATGATATACAGTTGAATCACAGTCATATGAAATGGTTGCATCAGTCAGGTAACCATACAGGAGCAGGTTACGTTATCTACAACCATTTTCCCTTTATAGCAGTTATATATGGAAAAGACATAAACTCGGCTGTATCTTGTACAGTATGGAGATGGGAGGTATAATTATTCACATATATATATTACAAGGTTTTTTTATTTCATACAGAGAAAAAATTACAAATAAAATAATTAAATGTTCCTTCTGATTTCTGTGTACAAACGTTTTTGTAATTAAATCATTCAAGTTCATATCTACTATGTACACACTTGGCCATGTAAATGGAATTTATTTGTATTACACCTAAAACAGGAGAGTCTGTGATCATATAATTAAATTTAAAAAAATAATAAATTCTGAAGGTGCATCAAATTTAGAACTAATTTTTAACTACTAGTAAAACAAGGGAAATACCATATATAAAGGGGAATAATACATTTTTATTTTAAGATGCAGTTTTTAAGGTTTTTATTCCTTGCAAAGTCACCAATATACAGTGCTCTTTTTGAGTCAGTATGGAGTCTTGTTATTACACATGTATAGTATTTGAAAATGAAGGTAATTAATTAGTTTGATGTGTGAGCTCTTCGGTATTAAAACCTCTATCTTTGTGTACTTGTTGTAGGTCAAACTCCTGGAAACTTTGTTTGCAGCTGAGAAGTATGGAAACTTTCAGTCTCCTTTCAACCCTGTTAGGAAGTTAGTAGGTAAGTGTTCAGACACTTGGCTAGTGACAACCTTGTTAGGAAGTTAGTAAGTAAGTGTTCAGACACTTGGCTAGTGACAACCCTGTTATGAAGTTAGTAGGTAAGTGTTCAGACACTTGGCTAGTGACAACCCTGTTATGAAGTTAGTAGGTAAGTGTTCAGACACTTGGCTAGTGACAACCCTGTTAGGAAGTTAGTAAGTAAGTGTTTAGACACTTGGCTAGTGACAACCGTGTTAGGAAGTTAGTAAGTAAGTGTTCAGACACTTGGCTAGTGACAACCCTGTTAGGAAGTTAGTAAGTAAGTGTTTAGA